TATGGAGAAGGGGAGAGAAAAGAGGGTATTATCACCAAAGGTCAACACTTCGGTTCACACACACCCCGGCCCAATTAAGTCCCGTGACCTTAAACAACATGAAACGATCTTCCCTTAACAAGAAACGATCTTCCCTTGAGATATTCCCTTGTGTGCGCGCCTTGAGAGAGAATCTACTGAGACCGCGGCTCTAATGAACACTTCCAGCTACCAGTTCACTCGGCATAGTAAGCGTTTTTAAGTTTTGGTAAGAGTATTACGGCACTTACAACACAATAGGTCATGTAAGTACCGACGAATAGATGTGTTACAAGAGGGTAACAAACATATAAAAGAAGGAGAGGAGACATAAAGGATGATGGATGGTTGATAGGAAAGAAGGAGCAAACCACACCAGAGCACCCGCCAAACACCAACGTAGTAATAGTTTTACGGCACTTGCAACGCAAGGCTAAATTCTCCCTGGGAGATGAATGAAGACAATTATTGCCACAGAGGTCCTATGTAAGTGTCGAAAATTGGAGGTCTTCTTAGAAAGTAACATACATTTTTTTAAAGAATGAGGAGAGATAAGGACGATAAATATTGTTGATCGGAAAGAAAGGAGCAAACCACACCAGAGCACCCACCAAACACAACTGGAAAACTGCCAAACGGTCTAATTTGGCCGGTGGTTATATGCTCATATCTCGTTATGTTCCCAGGACAATGTTCCGTTTCGTTTTCGTAAAAGTTTTACAGCACTTGCAACACAAAAAGGTAATATAAGTGCCGGAGATTTGAGGTGTTACAAGAGATTAACTAAAACAAAAAAGAAGGAGGGGAGATAAGGATGATAGAACCACACCAGAGCACCCGCCAACCACCAACCGGGACAATGCTCGATTGTTACTTAGCTGTGAGCCATGTGTCCGCCCACCCGGACACCTTAACTCAATGCCTAGTTTTTGCTCAATGGCATGCTCTATCCTGGTGTATTCTGACCTATTTCGGGAAGGCATTTCATTGAAGACAGGAGAATGGATCGGGTTCCATTCCTCGGGAGTGCCTCACAGACCCTTTGTCTGTGTGTGTGTGTGG